GATCTCACTGTTTTCATTAGGATATCCTGACCATTAAGAATAAGAGTGGTAGAATCACATCTCAGTCTACAGCACTTTATTTACAGAGCAAAGGCATTTTAATATGTGAAACACTTTATGTAACTGCAGTAGATTGCAACCATCTTTCATATTATATATCCTTTATGTGCTGTCTGTTTGACAAGCCATGATTAACATTACAGTTTAGAATTTTTTAATCATATCAGACTTGCATTAGGATAAACTGATAAACATTTTTCTCTCTTAAAAAAACAATACATTGTAAGCTGCATAAAGCATATTTGTGATTAATGCTATGAAAAATTAGGTTAGGAATGTTTATTGAGACCTTGGCTATCGCTACAGCTCCAATTATACTGCAAGTTCTCAAATTCTTTTGAAAAGAATTGCAAGTTCAGGGGCCTAAATTAAATCTAGAAAATTTGTTTAATATATAACGGTGACAAAACCCCAAGTGTATAATCCCATACAAAATACAGGATAAGTAAATCAATATTTCAGTATACACATCTTTTTCTGCACAACTTTCATTACATTTACCTGTATAAGTATCACAGAATTAATTTTTTTCATGACCAATAGGGAATTGCATTTAATGTTGCTTTTGTATCATACTGCCTCATATCTTCTAGCAGCACTCTGGCACTAGGCTTTGCCTTGACAAGTTGATCTGAATTTAAGAACATGTACTGTTCAAAATTATAAGATTTAACTGCAAAAGTGTAGGGAATTATTTTACACACTTAATTCCCAAAAATACTTGAACAGAAGTGATGGAAAACAATCACCACAGCACAATGTCTTTAGGTCACGCTGAAGTCAAATGTCAGGTGTTCACTACTTGTTACTGCAGTAAAAAAGCACTGGAGACTTTTGCTTCCCTTAACATTCCACCCCAACAATACAGAGCTTCATTCTATTTCCATTTTCATCACTAACATGTTCACTTATTTTTCAATATCTCTGCTTAGTTTGTTTACAAAACTAATCAGTATGAATGTTTGTTTGTGGAACTATAGAACATACTGTCTGTTTGTTTATAGAACTATTCTCTATGAAATGCCTGCACTGAGGCATGTAAAGGTCAAGATCTTTAAAATCCTCTTCTCCCAGTCAAGGTAACATTTTCAAGAAGCAGAAAGGTAAAAACAATACTGAATATAGGAAAGAATTAAAACCTTCATTCCTTCCCTCCACAGCAGGCTTCCACATACTATTTAAATATAGAAATAGGAGGAACAAAGAATGTGCAAATGGCTTGATAACTGCTGGAATAACTATTGGTTGTTATGGTACATTCTGAAAGGTTTTTCCTCTGAGACCTTATTAACAAAGGAGCAAAATGGCTCAACAGTCAAACATGAAAGTATTGACAGCTACATCTCAGAATTTACTTCATCAGTCCCTTAAACAATTTCTTTTGAAGACAAAAGCTTTCATATATTTATATTTACACAGCTCTTTATATGTCATCATCCTCTCAGAAATTTTCCTATTACACTAAATATTTAACGAACATCATAGAACATAATCATTTCAGCATACACATGCAATCAGACAAAAATATCTCCAAAGCTATAAAGGAAAAAAAAAAAGACTTTATTAAAAAAATACAAATTGAAAATCAAAAAACACTATGAAACTTGCAGTATGCAATATTTCTACATGTATCTTATATGCTATTAATATAATTATTAGAATTGATAAAACGTTTTCAGAAATAACACCTTATTTTTTGTTTTCCAGTTCTGCTCAGCTTGAAATTTTCCCTTTTTCTAATCCTTCAGTTCTCCTTTTCTAGTATTTTACATTGGGAAAGCTATCACTTTTAGTTAGGAACAGCTTTTCATATTAAAGGAATAGCACTATATAAAAAATAGCACCATATTAAAATGTAAACATTCAATCTATACTTCTTTAAAAGCCCAAGAGTTACACAAATGAATCCTTCCTCTTATCTGAAAAGGGCTGTAATTCATCATTACTGGTCCTACTTGTATCTGACGGTACAGCTGAGAATTTCTTGAGTGAAATAGATAAAATAACTTTCAGAAATGGAGGAACAATGACATTGACTGATGCTCAAGGACTTTTATTCTCACTACCCAGGATACAAAGATAGAGGTGAAATCAACATAATTTCTTCTCACAGATGCTTTTGAATTACTACCTTAGGCTTTCATGGCCCTCTCCCCTGTGAACCTCATCCCACACAGGAGCATTCAGGGACCTCACATTCCTAGTTCTGCACAGAAAGCTTGGAAAGTCAGTGGCCATTGGTGCCACAGAAGCTGCCTTGCTCCTGAAATGAATGTCTTGGTAGGAAAGCCCTCAAGTCCTCCCCAGACAACTGAAGGCAAGTAGGGAAATCTCTGATGAAACAAAGAAATGACAGCTAGAGTAGCTGATTAATGGCAGTATCAGAGGCTGCAGCATCCAGGATCTCCACTCTGTCTAGGGATGCAGGTAGGTTTACACTGCCATGACACAATCAGTGTTGCTGTAGCTGGGTTAATATGCACACCAGCATCTACCTAGGTTATTACCACACAAGCTGAGTAAGGTGCACTCACAAATCTGAACTTCAGTGCAAGAGCACTTTTCCGATGTACTTCGGACATTGTTTATTACTTACTGAAACAAAAATTGACAGATGTACGATTTGCATTTGTTTACAGTTCTCATATTTTTAGTGCAAATTAAGCATATTCTTCATCAAGGCATGTCATCAGTTGTATTCCCAAAAGAAAATAAATTAATAGAAACAGCTCTTATTTTAAATGCTGATTTCATGTCAAAAAGATAGCACGGCATATCAGCTCCAATAAAGTCAGTTTCTCTGATTAGCTTATTTTGTTCCCTCCCCCTCCATTGTAATATCTGATTGATTTAATGGCTCACTTCAGTAAATGGAAGCAATTAAACTTCTTTTTTTTTTTTCTTTCTAAAGTATCTATCACAACTGTTTAGTTATGAATTACTTCTTGTTAAGGTTATTTTTTGCATTCCTATTCCTATATTTCAGTCACTGGTTTTGAGCTAATGACAGAATAATATTCAGAGAAAAATGGAAGTGATTGGTTTGACAGAATGACATAATCCTCATTTCACTACATCTATTCTGTACTGACAAACAGTATATTTATAAAGCAAATGGCTTTACTCCTTGGCTTTAAGAGTAGAGACCACACAAATCCAGGAACATAAATTTTTAATTTCGTGGAATGAAGAGGGATCAAAATATTTGGCTGTGAAAAAGAAGCAGTAATCATGGAGAAACTAGTACCTCTCCATAATTATAAATTATGAAATTCACATTCCCAGTGTTTAGGAAATTGTAAGCTTCACAGATCAACAGCTAGACTGAATTAAAAGAAATACTTCACTTCCTTCTTCTTTTCTGTGCAATGAGCATTGAGTACCTTTCCTCAAATGTCCCGAGAAGCCTTTTCACTGCTATTTCATGCTTTCAGATAGATTTTTAACTAAAAGTTCATTTCAGATATATTTTATTTTGTTGTTAGGAAGAGAAATCAAATATTCACCTACTACTACTACTTCTAATGTTAGGACCAGGACTGGAAATATAAAAGCTACCTAAAACATTTTGTAAATTTCTTAGTTGACTCCATGCAATGACTTGCATTATGTTGGCAATGGTACAGCTATCCATCAGATAACCCTAAGTATTACTGTTCATATTACACATTCAGGAATTAAAAGTACATTGCCAAAGCATCAGTGCACATCTCTCAAAAAAGTCCATTCCAACCAGCAGATGTGATACTCTCTATATATGTGCAAGTTTCTATATATGTGCTGCTTCTGTTTTGTACCTTCTCTCTTAGATATTTGTCATTTTTAGGTTAGAAATTTGGAACACAATAATTATTGATCTGACAACTCCTCCTCTTCCCCACCTTTTATACCTTCTAAGCACATGTGGGAGGATAGTTTTTTTTTTAGTTAGTCATCAAAATTCAAATGAGAAAGGGAGAAATGGCTTACAAAATTAACCTACATTTGCAATATTTTACTTGTTGTACTTACTGCAAAATTAAGTACTTACTAAGTCTTGTGAATTTGTCAACTAGATTCAGCTATAGAGGCATTTTGCGGGAGGTTTTGGCTGTCTCAAGACAGTGGGATCAAGACAGTATAATTTATTTTACAATAGTAGATAGGCCTCTGTAAAATAATGACTTTGAAACACTGATTAAGGTGCAATTCAACTGCTGTTTCCCTTCCTTCTAATTTAATTCATCTTATGTTGAATAGTTGTACATTTTATTCTAAAAGAAGAATTCAAATCTGAACACGCTCTGATGACAGAAAAAGGCACACAAACCATCCTTTGCAATTAGGGCATGCAGCACGGGATGGTACATTAAAATTACATTACTCACTGTAACAAAGTGTCCTTCAGTGTATCTGCAAATACAATTTTCTCCCATTTTCAGATACTTATAAACTGTCAAAATGAAGTGAAGTAGCTTTAGCATTTAGGATTGAAGTTTGACAGTGGTAAAACTGTCAAAAGTTTTCTTCTAAGAACCTGGCAGCTCTAGGTACTGAACTCACTGAACTCAGGTTTTATTCATTGATTTAAGGACAACTTGGCTTTAGTTGTGATATATGGATATATGTCCCTTTGGAAACCAACACTTTGTTTCAATTTGGTCACAGTCTAACAACAGACTTCAATATGAAAAATATTTTGTTGACAACATTTTTTCCCATTACAAAATCATTATACACTTATTAGCATGAAACACTTTATTTTTACTGTCACCCGGCTGTTTTCAGAGATAAGGTATTCATGCTTGGTCTGATCCCTAAATTCAGAACATTATGTCCTTGTGGCATTGCAATAAGAAAAAAAAAATGTTAGGAATGCCTTTTAGATGACATAAAAGAAAAATAACCATGCAGATAAAAAATGAGTAAACCACTTTAATTTGTTCTGAAGTCACGTATACCTGAACGCATAGCATCTTTTTGAATGCTTTCATAATCATGCCAGTCCTTCCTTTTTAAGCCATCAGTCCAGGTAAAGAGCTGTCCATCTCCCAGCCCCAATGGAAGTGTCTGCGAAAACAGTAAATAAACAAACAAATAAATAAATACATACATATGTGGTTTGCATTATTAAAGACGAACAGTCAAGCAAATAAAACATTCAGCTTATTCAATGCAAATATTGAAACTTTACTGTGGTAAATGAAGTACCTTGATTTTTTCCTTAAACTATCACTTGTGCAGAATTGGAGTTACATAGTTATATTTACTCTGTACCTTTCAATGTTTCCCTTTCTTTTTTTTTTTTTTTTTAATACCCGCTGTTGAGTTATTGGTATTTACAGAAGGTCAAAGGACTGCATCAAAGACACAAAACAAAGAGATCCCCAAAATACTTTCAAATCCCGCAGATTTGATATCATTTCATGATAAGTGATAAGGGGGAAAAAACCAAACACACAACACCACAAAATACCCAGAAAAAAACCCCCATATGACATCTAGTAGGTAATTTGACTTCCTCTTTCTAGACTCCTGATTCTTGGGTACAGCTAAGAACTGCCTTTTGCTTCTAGGTGAAATTGTCATTCTAAAGCTTTTATTTTCATAATTTTTTCTGCCAAATGCTAGTATCTTTATGAAAAATAAGAATTGAAAATGCCATTAGAAGTACATGAAATGTAGATCTGTAGGAAGTAGTACAAAGCTGCAGAAGGTTTCAAATAAAGTTAGTTTTTTCTAAATGCTTAATTTACAAAAAAATGTGGTAAAGGAAGTGGAGGACAAAATTTGACAAGCAAAGAAGATGACTGAATCAGTAGGTCTGAATCAGCAAGCTATTCAGAAAAAGAGCAGATACATAATGCATGTTAGAAACATTGTTATCAAAGTTCTGTGAAAACACACTTAAAAAGCAGTTCCAGGGACACAACATCTGATCAATCTTCTAACAGCAAATATTGAAAGCTCTACAAAAATCCTATGCATGTGTAACAGTGACGCTTTGTCCTTCATGTATCAAGTCTATAAACCCAGACAACATGGGACTCACTCATCTGCCATTCCTGACTTTACACTACTGGCTGCACAAAACTGAATGACACTCACTGCCCCCAAGAGAAATTGTCCCAGCATGCTCAGTTAGGGTTTCTCTTTTTAGGAGAGACAAATATTTGCCAGTTTACCTAGTGCAGATCTGGTTGCTAATCCATCGTTAAAACTGAGGTTCAAAGGCTTTTGAATTTGTAACCAAGAAGTGAGGAATGCCAGGCATGACTGGTTGCCTTCAAGCAAAGGATGCCAGAAATCCTGGCTGACAAAGATTCATGCTGAAACTCTCTGCTTTGAGAATGTTGGATATTCAGGGCAAAGTGATGTGAGCTCTGTGCTCTCCAATAAATCCCTGAGATATCAACAAAAACTGATCACATTCTGCTAGCATGACCTAGATTTTTTTAGTCTTAATATCACAGGTAATTTATATTACATAATGCCAAAATGCAATCCAGTTTGTGGTTATTCTTCTATTAAAACTTTGTTGTCTCTGTATTTTAATATAATACATATCAGAGATTCACACCTGGAAGAACCAAAGAACTTAACAGACCCTGATAAAAATATTTCACGTTTATCAAAATATCTAATCTTTCATGTTCTTCAAATGAACTCCCTAAATTCAGTCATTCTTGAGGTAAAACAATGCTAATGTTCTAATAGTAAGAAGAAACTGCTTGTTTTTTAAATTCAGAAGTGTAAGGTAGAACACAGGCTGCAAGAGCACTAATCATGATTCTGGAGCCCAAAGTCCTAAAGTCATCTACTCTGAAGCAATAGCTGCCTCTTTAAAAATCAGGCCCAGACAGATTCAACTAAACTTCTATCTCTTGTCAGTATGGGTACAGCTGGCATCAATCACTTGGTCCCAAAAAATCAAGAATATCAAACTATCAAAAGCAGGATGAATTTCACTTTCGTGACCCTTTATTCCTATGCTGGCTTCTTTTCCTGAAAATAGTAATCTAAATGGCAAGTCTGCAGGACACTGAAAGACAGCTGAGCAGTAGAGTTCAGAGGCTTCTGGTTCGTCTATTTGCACTTTGATGCCATTACTCTTTAAAAGTATTAATTACATGTAGTTACTTTACCTGATAACATTTACAAGTCTAATGCATCAGGAAGCCCTCTTACAAGCATAATATAGTTAAACAAATACATCTACTAAAATTAATACAGCAAAAGGATAAATATACATCTAAATATTGCACAATACACAAAAAGCTCACAGAAATCTTACTGTGGCTCATATTTTGGAAGCACAACAGTGCCCTAAGAGAACATAAGAAATGAACAAATCCAAAACCCTAGTGTTGGTGCCATCATAAGTCCCTGTTTAACAACTCAGTTTCATTTGGATAGTTGAGACTTTTTGGTAACAAGGCCCTTAACTCTCTCACATCCTATCATGGTGATTTTTCAGCTCAACACTCTTTCAAGTGTAAGGGGTATTAAATACAATGCTCTTGCATTTAACTTCTTAACACCAGTATTCAGCATAATCTCAATGAGGACTGAATATTGTGACCCTTAAAGGGACTGGACCATGAAACTCACCCTGTGTACACATTAGTTTTACCTCTGCAGAGAGCATGGAACAGGGATTAGGAAAGGATGTCGAGTTTCACAGCCGAACTCTCTGGAAAGAGCAGAAGTTTTGCAGTGCAAATTCTATAGCTCTGAAGAGATCAGAACTGCCTTCTCTCCCTTGCCAGCAACTGAAGGATTTTTTTCTATTTTCTCTTTTCTTTTTTTTTTTTTTTTTGACAGTGCTATATTGTTTAACAGGATACAAAAGTACTCGAGTACCTCCATTTCACTTCTGCTTAAGGGTAAAAATACTGCATTTTCAAAGACCCCAAAACACAGTTTCTGGAATGTTTTAAAACTGCTAAAAGGTTTCATTGTAAAACTCTAAAGTATGCTTACATGCCTCTTTTTTCCAGACGATAATGACTAGAAAAGCTCCCATTTCTAAAGCATTTCTAGATGTCAAGGAAGGAAAAGAAAAAAACCTAATAAAAAAATGTAGTATTCTTATTCTAGTTCTCCAACTTTTTTGATACATTGACAATTTAAACTATATTCTATCTTGCATCAAACTAGAATAAACTCTAGTTTAGTTATAAACAGGATGACTCTGGTATAATAGCTAGATAAGAATAATGAGTTGTTACTTGTAAATACACACAAAAAGCCCATAAACCTCCACAGTCCATCTCAGAAAGATAAGTTCTGAGTAGGTGAGTATGATGTCAAAAGATGGAATGTGCTAATGGACCCTGATTCTGAATTTTTGCTGAACACGTTTAATCATAAGCTGATGGACTAAACTCAAATAAAATTAACCACACTGCACAAGTAGAAATACTAAAGATGGCAACAAAAGCAATTCTTCGTTTCAGGGGTAATGTACAAACAGCCAGATTAAAAATTAATAAATTCATGCTATAAAATACCTTATGAATTCAGCACAAAAAATGGGTTTAGGTGTGTAAAAAAATAACCAAATAAGGTTAGGTTTCAAACAATAAAAGAAAAATTTACGAAATATTATTAATCTGTGGCTAAGCAAATTATTGAACCATAGGTTGTGGGAGACAAATTGTTCTGGAAATACACATCTGCCATTTGCACAGCCTGGGTTCTTCTATACTTAAATGGCAGCAACACTCCATGGCTAGTGTGTAGTGTTAGTTCTACATGTGCCTGTAACTGTAAGAGCAATAATACTCTTCTGGTATACATGAGGGCCTTAGAAATAGGAAGCATGACTATGGAACACTTTGGCTCCTTCCAACATATGAAGCAAGGCTTCTTTCTGGTGGAAACCAAGATATGAGAAAGGAGAAGACTCAGGCACATCTGCCCTTGCTTCCCCTCACTACGTCATCCTAACACAAAAGCAATGCTTATATGTATTCTTCAGTGACATATCAACACACAGGGATGAGAAATGAGCTCTACTGATCAGCTAAAACATACTCAGGGTTTTCCCCTCCAAAACATTTCTGTAAGTCCCCCACAAATAGTGCGGTTTTCCTCTACAGCCCTTAGCCTCTTGAACTCATGAACTATTTTCATCATTTCAGAACAATTACAAGAGCAAATATCCCACTGCATACAAAGTATTGGATTTTTGACTGACTGTCAAAAAAATCTTACAACAATTTATCATCCAACCACTTTTTACATGTAGTATGCACCTGTGAGTTGCATATTTTTAAGTGTTTCAGTCCAAAAGGGATTACCCATCTACAGGAACATTACATACAGCATCTGCCATACTATTTCATTTTCACATTAACCTCAAACCTTTTGGGATGCATGACTGATACACTACTACATAGACTCAGAAGACCTTTTTCCTCCAGAGAAGACTCAACATCTGGTTCAATTACAGAGAATATGATAAGTCCCAAAAATAGCACAATTACCAAAAACTCACTCACAGACTGTTAGATCCCTCAGAGAGGAAAAAAAGCTTCTCTGCTGTGACATTTGAAAGCTCCAACTCAGAAAGAAATGCCTTCATTGAATAATTCATTTATTTTTAATTTCACTCAGTGCAGGCAGACAATTAGAGGCGACTCAGGCAAGGGAAGAGGATATATCAATGGAAATGCACCTTTCTAAAAACATTTTAAAAAAAAGAAGATATAATTACAGATTCACTTTGAGCCTGAAGCTTTGTTCCCTAGTTCTGGGGTTATTTTACTAAACACCAATATACAAACTGAATACTGCATTAGCAAAACATCGTATGTTGATCAGCATAACCACTTCCAATTGTTTAATGAATTTTAGGAAATAATCTTACTTAGAATATAAGCACTTGTTCACACTCAGGAAAAGATGCACATGGGAAATAAAGCCATAAAGAAGTATTAAGCATAGACACCTTCAGGGATGTTTCAAGAGAAGCATAAAAACAACCACTGTTTTATTCCTGTTTGTTCTTGGAATAAAAGATTCTGTATAGTGTTTGTAAACAGTGTTGTATAAAACAGATAATT